TACAAGAAGGTATTTAAAGTTTTTACTATATGTACATAGTAAAAATCAATGACCCCCGGGGCGGGGCCAATTTTGACACCAGGGCTATAATTTGAACAATCTTGTTAGAGGTCTACCAGACAATGCCTTATGCAAAATATCTAAGCTCAAGGCCTTTTGGGTCTTTACAAGAAGATTTTTTAAATTTATTCTTATAATTCCTTTTGGTTGCCATGGCAACCAGATTTCTGCATGGAATGAAATTCTTTAAACAACTTTGGAAGCCCTTCACCCAAGGAACAATCCTGCCAAGTTTGGTTGAAATTGGACTAGTAGTTTTTCACAAGAAGATCTTTTAAGCTCACTATATAATCTATATAGCACACACACACACAAACACACACAAACACACGCACACACAAACACACACACACACAGGTGAATCGCTATATGCCACTGCATCGCAGATTGCGATGGCATAAAAATTCTTTGGTTAGAAAAGTCAATAATCTTTCCAACAGTATATTATAAATGTACTTTCACATGCAGATCATGGTTAAATTGAGTTATTGCCACTAATTAAAATATATCCCTCCTACGACCACTTTCTTCTGACTTATTAACAATATTGCATGTATTTAGACCCCTTTACTCTCACCATACCTGAATAGTTGTAAAATCACAATTGTGTCAACACTAATGAACCTTTCCAGTTTTTTGTAGCGGAACATTTAGCCACACCTTTTCCATTCATTGCGAGTTCAACTGCTCACAATTGGAGAACAAGTTATACATAAAACTGTAAACACTGGAAAGGTCCATTGACTATCAACTGCTGTACACTGAGTTTTCTTCTATTTTATTGACCCCTGTTTTTAAGATATCAAGAACAGGCTTATTGGTTGTTGCTAATTAACTGTTTTGTCAGTCTTCTTCAAATTTTTTTTGGCTACTTGCGACACAAGTTGAAATCTGAAATCTTTTACTTAGTCAATGACAAAAACACTACAAATACTGAATAAATCCATAAGCAAACCCCAAGGTGCATAACTACACTTGCTGACCAACATTTTTGTATACTTTCGACTACAGGTCAAATACTTTTGAGCTATGCATGTTTATACTAATCCATGGGCAATAACAAAACTGAAAAAAAAATTCACATGCAAAACCCCAGGTGCAAAGCTTCACAGTGATGTTGATCATGATTCCTGTAAAGTAAGTTGGTTGATTCTAACTTAAGCACTCAAGGTACACATAACACAACCTTTTGGAATAGTATTTTCTAAGTCGAAGGAAATTACACTACAAATTCTGAATAAATCCACAGTCCATAGTCAAACCCCCATGTGCATAACTATATATTATGCTGACAGTTTCATGACTCTAGGTCAACTTCTTTTTGAGATATAGATTACACAAGTTAACTAGAACTGCCACTGTCATGGCATGTATACCCCCCATACCACTTTGTCAGAATTAACAGTGGTCATTGACAACCTTCCTGCCAAATTTGAGGGTTGTAAGCCAGTGCATTGCTAAATTATGTATTCAAAACTGAAACTGCTACTGCATGACTTTAATTCATGCAGCTTTGCCACGGGGTGTTTTATGATAAATATATGAAAACATAATTATATGCTTCAAATGTGAAAATGTCAAAATCAACAACACTTTAGACAGGCATTCTTAAGCATTTGAGCGGACAAGCTTATTGTAGTAAAAGCCCCTGTGACCTCCACCTTTGACACAGTCACCTAAAAATCAATAGGGGTCATCTACTAGTCATTACCAACCACAATACCAAAGATGAAGACTGTTGACCAAAACATTCATAAGCAAGTGAGCAGACAAGCTTTTTGAACTAAAGGTCCCTTTGACCTTGACCTTTAACCCAGCAACCTCAAAATCAATAGGGGTCACCTAATGGTCATGATCAACCTCCATGCCAAATATGTGGGTCAAAGGATTCTTAAGATATTGGACAGACTAACTTTTTTAGTTAAGGCCCCTGTGACCTTGACCTTTCACCCAGTGACCTCAAAATCAATATGGGAATATAAAGACTGTGGGTCAAAGGATCCTTAAGTTATTGGAAGGACAAGCTTTTTTTATTCAAGGCCCTTCTAACCTGGCCTTTGACTTAGTCACTTCAAAATCAATAGGGTTCATCTACCAGTTATAACCAACCTCAATGCCAAATATGAAGACTTCACAAAAGCATTGTTACCCAATTCAGCAGACAAACTTTTTGAGCTAAAGGCCCCTGTGACCTTGACCTTTATCCAATTGACCTCATAATCAATAGGAGTCATCTACTTATCATGACTAGCCTCCATGCGAAATATGCACTATGTGGGTCAAGGAATCTTAAGTTATTGGGCGGACAAGCTTTATATAGTCAAGGCCCTGTGACCTTGACTTTTGACTCAGTGACCTCAAAATCAATAGGGGTCATCTACTAATCAAGACTAACCTCCAAATATGAAGACCGTGTGGGTCAAAGGATTCTTAAGTCATTTGACTGACAAGCTTTTCTTAGTTCAGGCCTCTGTGACCTTGACCTTTGACCCAGTGACCTCAAAATCAATAGGGATCATCTTAAAATCATGACTAACCACCATGCTAAATATGAAGACTGTGGGTCAAAGGAATCTTAAGTTATTTGGCGGACAAGCTATTTTCAGTCAAGACCCCTGTAACCTTGACCTTTGACCATGTGACCTCAAAATAAATAGGGGTTATCTACTTATCATGACTTACCATCATACCAAATATAAAGACTGTGGGTCAAAGGATTCTTAGGTAATTGGGTGGACAAGCTTTTCTTAGTTAAGGCCCCTGTGACCTGTGACTAGCCTGGGATTCAGGCGTTGATATTTTTTGCTTATTCATAACATACGCGCATCATACTCGATCGTCATAGATAACACAACATCTCTGGTTTTGATAGTATCAACGCCTGGGGAAACCTGCGGGGTTTCCCATGTAATTATCGACTAATGATAATCCTATTAATAGACCGATTAGCACGTGACCAACAAATTACATGACTAAATCGAAATCGAGGCGAAGATGATGAATGTTGAAAATTTGACGCCATTTACTATTAGGAATTGCGTCCAGCACAATTCTCTGATGCTCGAAAACTTTATACAATTTAACTAATCAAACCTGTTGATCAAATTCACTCATCATGCAATAAACTTTGTCAACAAGTGTTAGTTTTTAATCGGAAAAGGTGTTTTGAAAGCGAGGCTCCGTAACTGTTCGTTGAGCTTCGGGTCACTTCGTGGAAATTCCGTTTCTATTTTTAGAAACTAGTTTGTCGTTGCATGAGTTATCGTTCTTTAAATAACACCCGTAATTTTCGGGGTGTATACTAGGTGGCGCTTCGATCGAAAATCGTATTTCCCCAGGCTGTCGATTTGCCAAACAGAAGCACATAAAAAATCGACAGACTGGAACCCAGGCTAACCTGTGACCTTTGACCCAGTGACCTCAAAATCAATAGGGGTCATCTACTTATCATGACTAACCTCCATGCAAAATGTGAAGACAGTGGGTCAAAGGAATCTTAAGTTATTGGGCGGACAATGAAAAACTGACGGACGGCCAGACGCACAAACTGATTCCAGTAAACCCCCCTTACAACTTTGTTGTGTGGGGTAATAAAAATTGTAAAGTTTTAGTAATTCAACGGCAATAACTCTAAAAATTCTGAATTAATCCACAACCGAAACCCCAGATGCACAACAACACATGCTGACCAACATTCCTATAAAGTTTCTTGACTCTAGGTCAAATACTTTTTGACCTACATGCGACACAAATTGAAAATTGGAAATTTTTAGTAAGTCAAGGGCAATAACTCTGACAAAGCAGAGTTAATCCACAAGCAAATCACCAGATGCAAAACTTAACATGCTTATTGACATTCCTGTTCATGACTATAAATAAGGTCAAACATTTTTTGAGCTACGCGCGACACAAGATGAAAATTGTAAAAAGTAAAGGGCAATTTTACTAACTCTACAAATACTGAATAAATCCAGGTGCACAACTACACATGCTGACAAGCATTCCTGTTTAGTTTCATGACTATAGGTCAAATACATTTTGAACTACGCACATCACAAATTGAAAATTGCAAATTTTTAATAAGTCAAGGGCGGTAATTCTGACAAAACTGAATAAATCCACAAGCAATCCCCCTGGTGCACAACGTCACATGCTGAGCATGACTCCTGTCAAGTTTCATGACCCTAGGTCAAATACCTTTTGAGCTACATGCGACAAAAGTTTAAATTTGCAAATTTTACTATGTCAAGGGCAATAACTCTACAAATATTGAATAAATCCACATACAAACACCAAGGTGCACTATTTCACATGCTTACCAATAGTCCCGTAAGGTTTCATGACTCTAGATCAAATACTTTTTGAGCAACGTGCGACAGAAAAGAGAACGGACATATGAAGGGAAGGGCGGACGGACATGGGCAAAGCTTTGCCATTATTTTAATGTTGAAAATTTAATAGACCGTACAGTATGGGATCACATGTTACTGCTGTATACTAAATATCAAGACGCTGTGATAAGTAGTTGCTTAGAAAACTGTTACGAAATGCTTTCCTTGTACGCTGGCCCTCTGCCCGACATTCACCATACTAAAACCGTAATGCAACCTGTACAAAAATTACAAATCACTTTATCATTTAGTTATACCATATGCCTCCAAAAGAAATCCATTAACGCAAATATTACTTTTAGAGACAAATACATAGTAAAGGCCACCCTACTATTAAGACCATTTTTCTTCAGAACCACAAGCGGTCTCATATTGAGTGGCATTTTACTGTAATTGAAAGATGCTTGTTGATGTAACACAAGATTTGTCAGAGACTGTTGAAAAAGTCAATACTACATCATCAGCCCTTTAAAATAGCTTAATCTGTCTATTATAATTATTTTAGTTATGCAACATTATGATGTTTGTATATATAAAAAAAGAACTTACCCAATTCCTTATATACATTGTTTAAGAAGAACAGGGTAATTTGTGAGGTTTCCCTTCTTGTGATGATATTTCACTGTAATTAAAATAAGAAATATGTTGACACATTTAATTATTACAACAAATGATGTCCAAATACACTGACCTTGTATGCCAAAACGGTTTCCAACCTTTATTACTCAGCAACCCTTGGCCAACTGCTCTTAAATTTCATATTTGTATTGCAGGGTACTCAACAACTGGTAAAATCTTTGTTAAAATAAAATGCCAGTAGCTTTTCTTTACACTCCCAATCCTTTGCAATTGTAACAGATACGAGACTTATTTGATATGTAATGAGCATTTTCACAGTGCATATCAATATCAGTACCCTCTTTGCAAAATCTACTAAAACAGTACCCTCTTTGCACGTTCAAAGGTCATTCTCTCTTGAAAATAAATCTGCGACAGACAACAATCCATTGAATGTTCATTGTTCTGATTTCGTAGATTTCACAAAGAGGGTACCAATGTGGATATGCAACATGACTTAAAAACAGCCTAATTACGCTTTGAACGAGTTCATGTATGTTAATACCTCTAACTCTATTCAATAATATTCTGTATAAACGTAAGCCTTCAGTTTAACACAGTTTTAAATTATTTGCAAATTTAGAAAAGCTAGTCATTGACCATTGTTGTAAAAATGGTTGGGAATGATTGAAAGTTATGGCAGGTACATGACTTGGATATTGCCAAAGCTGTTGGCATATCGCTATCAACAGTGAAATTCATTTTGAAGGGTACTTTGAAGGTTCAAAAGATTTGTGCCAGATGGATACCCCATTCATTGACAGATGACTGAAATAGGGTACAAGAGGTTAATTTTTAATTTCCTGAGTATGCTTAACTTATTTCCATGAGTATATTTTATTTAAATTTCATGTCAAGTTTCCAACCTTGGTTTGAAACAAGAATGCATTTGTGAAAAAATGCTATGCCACTGCATTAATATAACAGAAGAAGATTTTTTTGTTACTTTGAAATTGAACTTGTCTAGTGAATTTGGAGGTCAAGGTCATATTTCAGCATGTCAAATCATTAGACACATGTGCAGATGTGTCTAATGTTAAGATACAAAGGCCATAGTGCAATAATTAGTCCCCTACCGGTTTACTGGAGGGGACTTTAGGTTTACCCTCCGTCTGTCTGTCCATCTGTCTGTCTGTCCGTCTGTCTGTCAGTCCGTCAGTCCACAAAACTGGATCCCGCGATATCTTGAAAAGTACTGAAAATATTTTTATGAAACTTGACATATGGGTAGATTGTAGTCTGGAGATTATGCATGTCTTATCTTATCTTCCTATTTTGAAAAAATATTGGTTGCCTTGGCAACAAATAGGCTTAAAACATGGCAAATATAACAATATTTGTGATTAGTCAAAAAGAGCTGAAAATTTTTATGAAATTGCATCTTTAATTCAAGACTTATCTCCTCTTTAAGAATTTTGCTTTTAAAAATGGGTCAAAGATAGAAAAGGCCGGGTTGCATTTGTACACCAAATATCATGAGGCTGTGATGTTACGAAAAAAATTTACCATTGGCCCATTTATGTTGAAAATTTAATTAAGTCGGTGAACAGGAAGTGGATGAACTGCAGACCTGAAATCAAATCCCACAGTATGGGACCATGTGTCAATGCTGTATGCCAAATATCAAGAGGCTGTGATAAGTAGTTGCTGAGAAAACTGTTACTCAAATTTCCTACCATTGACCATTAATGTCAAAAATTTAACTAAGTTGATAAGCAGGAAGTGGATGACTGATAGACCTGAAATCAAATCCCACAGTATGGGACCATGTGTCAATGCTGTATGCAAAATATCAAGAGGCTGTGATAAGTAGTTGCTGAGAAAACTGTTACAAAAAGTTCCCCGCCCACCAGCCACCCAACATTCACATTACTATAACCCGGGTTTGCACCAGTGCAACCTGGCCAATTATAAAGGGTATTGATATCATTCTTGCGCACAGCATTCCTCCTCAATAAGATAAATCCACCTATGAAGTTTCATGTTGACATCTCAAAGATTTTTGAGTTATGCTCTACTCAGGTGAAAAGTTAAGTAAGAAAAATAAGTAAGGGCAAAAACTAAAAAATTATGAAGGGTAGACTTATCACTCTCGTGTACTGCACACCTCCTCAATATGATTTATCCACCTATGAAGTTTCAAGTTGATACCTCTTATCCTTTTTTGAGATATGCTGCGGACTAAATGTCGGACGTAAGAACAGACGGACGAAAGGACGGACGGAGACTATTTCTATATCCCCCGTTGCTTTTCGGCGAGGGATAATAAATAAATAAATAAATAAATACTATATAATGTAACCCATGACATGTTCCCAAAACCAAGGATAACACAAACAAGAGGGCCATGATGGCCCTAAAGTCGCTCACCTGTATATAGGCCCCCGGAGCAGGGCCAGTTTAAACCCCAGGGCTTTTATTTGAACAAACATGGTAGACACCCATTAGAAGATGTTTCATGCTAAACATCTACGGTCTAGCTTGTTAGGTTTTTCAAAAGAAGATTTTTTTCAAGTTTTTTTCTTTACACATATAGTTAAAAACAATGACACACCTGGGGCAGGGCCAGTTTTGACCCCAGGGCTTTTATTCGAACAATCTTTGTAGACACTTACTAGACAATGTTTCATGCTTAATATCTGAACTCTAGCTATTCAGGTTTTTTCAAAGAAGATTTTTTTTGCTATACACATATAAGGAAAATGAATGACCCCTGGGGCGGGGCCAATTTTGACCCCAGGGCTTTTATTTGAACAAACTTGGTAAACACCCATTAGAACATGTTTCATGCTTAGTATCTAAACTCTAGCTATTTGTTGTTTTTTTCAAAAAAGATCTTTTAAGTTTTTGTTATAAAAATATAAGGAAAATGAATGACCTCCCGGGCGGGGCCAATTTTGACTACAGGGCTCTTATTTGAACGAACTTGGTAGACATCCATTAGAACATGTTTCATGCTAAATATCTTAGCTCAAGCTTTCTGCATTCTTTAAAAGAAATTTGTTTAAGTTTTTACTATATGCATATAGGGAAAATCAATGACCCCCTGGGGCGGGGCCAATTTTGACCCCAGGGCTTTTATTTGAACAAACTTGGTAGACACTCATTAGAAGATGTTTCATGCTAAATATCTAAGCTCTATCTCTTTGGGTTCTTTAAAAGATTTTTAAGTTTTTATTATATGCATACAGGGAAAATCAAAGACCCCCTGGGGCGGGGCCAATTTTGACCCCAGGGCTTTTATTTGAACAAACTTGGTAGACACTCACTAGAAGATGTTTCATGCTTAATATCTAAACTCTAGCTATTTGGGTTTTTTCAAAGAAGATTTTTTAAGTTTTTGCTATACACATATAAGGAAAATCAGAGACATAGATATCTATGTCTCTGGGAAAATCAATGAACCCCGGGGCGGGACCAATTTTGACCCCAGGGCTTTTATTTCAACAAACTTGTTAGACATCCATTAGAACATGTTTCATGCTAAATATCTAACCTGTAGCCTTTACAAATTCAGAGAAGTAGATATTTTTTATGTTTTACAATGTACATATAAGGAAAAACCTATGACCCCCCAGGGTGGGGCCGATTTAAGTTCTAGGAATAAAATTTGAACAACTTTGGTTAACTTTGGTTTTGGACCTATAGATGATACCATAGACCAAATATCAAAGCTCTAGGCCATTTACTTTCAGACCAAAAGATTTTTCAAGTTTTCACTATATGTATATAATGAAAATCAATGACCCCCGAGAGCGGGGCCAATTTTGACCCCAGGGCCATTATTTGAACAATCTTGGTAGAGGTCTACCACACAATGTTTCATGCCAAATATCTTACCTGTAGCCTTTGCCAATTCAGAGAAGAAGATTTTTTTATGTTTTACTATATACATATTAGAAAAACCTATGACCCCCCGGGGCGGGGCCAATTTTGACACTAGGGACAAAATTTGTACAACTTTGGTATTGGACCTTCAGATGATACCATAGACCAAATATCAAAGCTCTAAGCCATTGAATACTTTCAGACCAGAAGATTTTTCAAGTTTTCACTATATATGTATGTAATGAAAATCAATGACCCCCCGGGGCGGGGCCAATTTTGACCCTAGGGCCATTATTTGAACAATCTTGATAAAGGTCTACTACACAATGTTTCATGCCAAATATCTAACCTGTAGCCTTTGCCAAATCAGAGAAGAAGATTTTTTTAGATTTTACTATATACATATATAGGAACCCCCTGTTTCTATATGTGACACCCCCAGCCCTCCTGGCGAGTCTAATTTTGACACTAGTGACAAAATTTAAAAATCTATGGTAGAGGACCTATAGATGATATCATATAGCAAATATCAAAGCTCTAAGCCTCGTACTTTAGACAAGAAGATTTTTTAAGTTTTTACTCTGTGTACATAGTGAAAATCAATGACCCCCAGGTTGGGGCCAATTTTGACCTAAAGGCTATAATATGAACAATCTTGGTAGAGGTCTACCAGACTATGTTTGCAGAGTTATTCTATTTAAAAAAATATGAGAATGAGTAAGCTAAAACTCCCCAGTAACTGTCAATGCTAAAACTCTTTATTTGTCAATTCATAACATTTCCTTCCTATCATATATATAGAGGATATTGAATGAGTGTAAGTTCAATACTGAATTTATTGCACGAGTTGAATAAAATCATATTATGCGAGCCTCTGGCGAGCATAATATTATTTTATTCAACGAGTGCAATAAATTCAGTAATGAACTTACACGAATTTAATATTCTATTTATCACATAAAATAAAGACCGTTTAAAGTGAAATGAGAGTCATTTTTCATTGACGCGCCTATAGTATAACGCTAACATTTAGCGCGTCTTTACACTATGTTTGTACAACGCTAATGACGTCACGTCAAAATATATGCACGGCCGTGCAATACCAAATTTACGGAGTCGAAAAATCGGCACGGGTGTGTGATAAACTCTAATATTTACATTTACACACTGTAAAACTTAAATGTTTCAATAATTTTTTGAAATAGAATTCTTAAACATAAAAAATCATATCTGTTTTTCAAAAATAAAATTTCTCATAAGAGATAAAACCACCTGTTCGAGCACTGGTAAGGTTGCCTGACAAATATAGTGGTTTAAGGCTCTATATATCCATGGTAATTTGTATCCTGATCTATGTCATCAAAACACTTTTGTTTAATGCGAGTATGAAAGGCCAAGCTTTGTACCAAAAAATAGTTTCTCAGCAATCTATTTGTTTTGAAAGAGTTTTCATGTGATTTTGTGTAATACTGGTTGAGCACTGGTCTGGTGACCCTACATCTCGCCCAATAAAATTGATTTTGACTGAATATACTTTTGTTTCCTTGTGTCATACAGCAGAAAATACCTCTATGTTACAGCTTATGACAATTTTGTAGCATAAGTTTCATTTGTTGTTTTCTTTCTTGTTTCAAAGCATAAAGTACTGTGAAGAGGAGCACAGTATATGTGCCGAGCATTGGTCCAACCAAATTATATTTATCAGCGAAAAAAAATTAAGAAAGAAATAATCAAGCATTTATCATATACTGGGATCCTACATTTTACCAGGCAATCAGTTAACCTGACAAAATCTATCCCTGTCAAATAAGGCTTTATTTTTTGCTTCCATTCAAAAATTGTCCACACACTTTCTATTTCAAAGTAAATAACAACAAAACCACTCTCCGGTACATGTACATATTCTTGATTCAGTTCTTTATGTACTAACATACCCTTTTGTTAACTAGTTATTTCATGACCTGGCCTCATAGACATGAGGGGGAATAATCTGTTCTGTGTATGCCCGAATATTGAGGCCCTTAATAGGTTATTTTAGATAGGTTTTACTTTTATTCTTGTCAACGTTATCTTGGGAGACAATCGTAACATATTTAATGATAAAAAGTAATTTGGTTCAAACAGTATCTCGTTGTTGTCTTTTACAAAGAAATGCAAATTAAAAAACATATAAGGAAACAGGTTATGCCCATGGGAGGAAACTCTACATAAAACGTAAATAAAATAGATTTTATGCCTTTTGTAACATGCTATATACTGTGCTCCTCTTAGTTCACGGTACTTAACGATTTGAAACCAGAAAGAAAACAACAAATGAAACTTATGGTACAAAAATTGTCATAAGCTATAACATATAGGTCTTTTCTGCTGTATGACACAAGAAAACAACAATATAATATTCAGTCAAAGTCAATTTTAATGGACCAAATGAGACCATATGTCGACCATTTTGAAAACAGTATGTAATAATGTCATCATTTAAATCGGGGTAATCGTATTACATTTCAGTTTTTTCATGTTTCAGTTAAAATTTCTACATGTTATTTTGCTTGATTGTAAATATTAAAAATATTCTTACTTTGTAACTCAAATTTTATTTTTTCAACAAACAAGAATATTTAGAAAATGATGATTGTTTCAGACATACACACAAATTTTAAGAGGATATTTTTGAGTTTGAGTGAAATATGGAGTATATATTCACGAAACATGATAAAATGCCACATATTTTCACGAGCCGGTACGGCGAGTGAAAATATGTGGCATTTTATTATGTTGAGTGAAAATATATACCATATTTCATGAAAAACGAAAAAATAACCTTTTTATTTAATTTCATTATCAAAGAAAATGGTAACTAATCCCCTTGCTTGCTACCAACTTCAATTGTACAGCGCGCAGTAATTTATGCGTAAGCACCCGCTGTTTGGCACTACATTGTGACGTCATGTAAACAACTCTTTAAACGTCTGTACAGCGTTAATTACTGAAATAAAGATATTGGTGTTCGGATTAATTTTCTTAGTTAGACCATTTTTTATCATGCTAGATAGTTTTCAAAAAAAAATTCAAGAAAAAGTTCTTTTGTATTTATCAGATTTTTCAAACAAAACGGCGAAAGAAGTCCCTTAAAATTAATATGAGTTTTGACTCCGCCCACTTTCATGTTTATATTTCATATTTATTTTTAAAAAATATGAAATATATTTGACAGATATAGCACCATATTTCATGGGTAAAATTAAATAAAATGGAATATTATTGCTTTTTGCAGAAATTTGTTAAATCTTGTTCTGTTTAACCTAAAATCTAGAAATTTAAAATATTTTGCATAAAAACTTTGTTGCATAGGTGTATGAATAAAATATGTTAATTCTGACCAATTTTAACACTGGTCACATGAAAATATGCCATTACCGTATAATAAGTGAATGACAAGGAATTAGTGATGTTGAGTATACATGATGACCAAAATGAAACCGTATGACAAAGAACATAATTCCATTTGAATATCAAAATGTTTCATATATTGTTTAAGGCTCATGAAGAATCAATAAATTAATTGAGTTAATAGTGTTAATTTCAATTACACCCCTATATTGGCCTCTTCGTAACAAGCATGGCTGCCGTGTCTATTTTAGTGATACACTGGGTTTGTCCAGTATCTTATTCTTGCCAATCAATAGTCCTTATTTCCCTGCTGATTATTTAAAGATTAATTTCAATTCACGACTTCAAATATTTTTGAAACACTGTCCAGTAAATTGAGTTGTCTTTTTATTGAAGTTAAAGCTTAATGAGGGTCCAACCGCCCTTTCGGCCACAAAATGCAGCTTTTGCTGTCGAGTACGGACCCCGGACATGTCACCAGTCATGTCCTTAAATGGTTAATTTTGAAGCACAAAGTGGTGATAATTTACCTCCATGCAATTTCCACCGAGTATTAGCCAAAGATATGAATTTTGAGCCAAAAATAGGTCACTGTCCGGCGGTCAATGATAACCTAAATGTACAGTAACCTGTGACAATAGGAAAGGTTAGCCCTGAAAAGGGCTGTTTGTGCCAGGAAAAGGCTTGCCGTTCAAGCCGTTTAACCGTGCTAGGGGCTCACGCACCCTAGCACACAGTCCTCGTAGACCCAAGTGCCTACTTTGTAGGGCCACTCCCCTCGGCATTAGTCAGGACACCGGCAGCTGGTCCGCAGTTGTTGACTAAGTAGCGGTTTCGTCTTTAACACCCACGGAGGCTTCAGTTTAAGTTAGCCACCAGCCAAACTGTAAATCTTCTGCCGATGCCCTGTGCCTACTCAGCGACGCGCACGCTCCGAGCATAGGTGTTCGGCGCGTTGATTGGTCACTACACTACCCCCGCACCCCCCCCCCTCACCCCCACACCCACTCTGTATACAGCCCTCCTACCTCTCAAAACCATGTAAAATACAGTATTTTTCATTTGAAACATGTTCTAATGTTTAGTTTATGCTTTTAATTCAATAACCTTCATTTCCTACAAAAAATAATAAATTGATACATATATATTTAGTAAAGGTATGCAACTCGCCGCTCAATTTTCAGCACTCATCTTAATATGAACTTCATAACTTCAACATTTTTTCACCAATTTTCAATATTTTTGTACCAAATGGTAGGGAATTGATTACTCTTGAAGGAAATAAAGCTGTCATTACAATCATTTCAAGTTATCAGCAGATGTGTAATCTCAAACTCACGGCAATGTAACTCGACAGTGACACTCGACACAAACCTTTTTTCCTATATGCCAAATTCTCCAATTCAAAATGAAAGTACACATGTATAAACGGAAGCATTCGTATGGAGTATTTTCATTTGTCGTGTGAAAACCTTAGACCAATGAAAATACTCAGTACAAAAAATTAAGAGGAGAGCACTCTGTAGAAATATTACTTGCATTATAATTTGGAATTTAACATATAGGAAAAAAGGTTTGTTATAGTTTTATAAGATGTTTTGATTGAACAGTTATTACAAATAATAATATAATTTGATCATATTTATATTCACAATACAATGAAATATTCATTCATTTCGAATAAACTGCCGTTTAGTTGGGTAATTTTGAAGAAAACCCAGCGGTCAGATCACTGTCGAGTTACATTACGGTGAGTTTGAGATTACACATCTGCTGATAACTTGAAATGATCGTAATGACAGCTTTATTTCCTTCAAGAGTAATCAATTCCCTACCATTTGGTACCAAAATATTGAAAATTAGTGAAAAAATGTTGAAGTTATGAAGTTCATATTAAGATGAGTGCTGAAAATTGAGCGGCGAGTTGCATACCTTTACTAAATATATATGTATCAATTTTTTATTTTTTGTAGGAAATGAAGGCTATTGAATTAAAAAATCATAAACTAAATATAAAAACATGTTTCAAATGAAAAATACTGTATTTTACATGGTTTTGAGAGGTAGGAGGGCTGTAGAGTGGGTGTTGGGGTGGGGGGGGTGCGGGGGTAGTGTAGTGACCAATCAACGCGCCGAACACCTATGGCTCCGAGGGGAAGTAAGAAGATTGAGTTGTCTACACGCTTGTTTTCCTCTTGTACTGCCCTACTTTAAAGACACATTTCTACAGTGAATGTTTAATTTCATGTTGGATAAAAGGAATGTTTACGTGTATTAAGAACCCAAATTGGCCAAAATTATTTGGGTAAAATTCCATTCTTTTTATTATTATAAATAAAAGTTAAAGCGAAAAAACATTGTATTTTGTCCAGTATTATGTAGAATCCCAGTACAGTACCTTCTAAGTGTGATCGTGCAGTAAAATGTAGATGTAGATCATAAGATGTAACTATAATGTTACAGGACAAAGTTTACATTTCGACTGCTTTATCTTCTTGAAGGAGAGTTGTTGTTATTGTAGTCTGGGTTTAAGACTGATAAATAACATTTGATTGAACACCACTAAATAATTTCCTTCTATATTTCTCAAAGGGTGGCGAACCCATGAGACTATTGGATAAGTGTACGGTGGAAAATTCTCACAACCACACCGTATTCCCGGCGTGTTCTGTACGAAATTTCGTGCCTTCTCGTACATTTCGTGCTTACAGAAAATACGCTCCTTCGCATCGCGTGCGTATCCGAAAATCAACAGAAAATGAGAAAAAAAAACAGGTATATAATAATCCATGAATGTATTGCTAAATCGTGGCCAAACATTGTTACTCCTGCTATAAAACACAAAAAACTCACTTTTTATTCATAATTTGCAAAAAAAAATACAACTTTTTGTAAAATTTTCCTGTGCGTCTTTTTTTATGTCACGTGACAAAATTTCCTTTGCTCCGTGTTAGATTTATCATTATATACTATTCTTAAAAAGTAACACGGCAAAATATAATGACAAATTAACGTTAAATTTGTTTTTGTCATATTTTTGTGCTATGCATCCTTTTGTTCTAGGAGGGAGCAAATTAATTTATATCTACACACACAGAAACAAAATAAACATATAAATTAAGGCTTCTAGACAGTAAATACAATTAAAAAGAAGCATGCCAGACCTCTTTTTTGCTGCTGTGGAAGATTTGTTTAATTCGAAAATATTTGGGGATATTCTTGCATAAAAGACACAATGAGTAGTTATAAATTACAATTATTTAACAAAATAGAATTTATTATATATAGAGGATATTGAATGAGTGTAGGATTAATACTAAATTTATTGAACGAGTTGAATAAAATCATATTATGCGAGCCTCTGGCGAGCATAATATTGTTTTATTCAACGAGTTCAATAAATTTAGTATTGAATCTACACGAATATAATATTCTATTTATCACATATGTAAAATAAGAACGGTAAACTGTTATCAAGAGTCATTTTTCTTTGACGCGCCTATAGTGTAACGATAACATTAGCGCGCTTTAAATAACGCTATGTTTATAGCGCAAATGACGTGACGTCAAAGTGTTATTACACTAGTGTAATATCGTCTAGTGTAATACCGTTTTTGTGTCGCCTTGAAAAGGTGACATATAGGGGTTACTTTTGTCGGCGGTGTCGGCGGCGGCGTCTGTGTCGGCGTCGTTGTCGGCGTCCCCTAAAGCTTTTCCGGAGCATAACTCAGTCTCTATAAGTCTGATTGACTTCAAACTTGGTATGCATGCTTCTTTCAGTAACCCGAAGTGCAGTTGCATAAGGACCGGTACTCTGCAGTTCTTTTTTTTTGAGTTATTGCCCTTTGTTAATTTTTATACTTTAATTTTGTCCGGGCCATTTCTCTTCAACTAAAAAAGCTATGGACTTGAAACTTCATAGGATGATAGATCTCATTAAGAAAAAATGCAGTGCACAAGAACCAGTACTCAGCACTTCCTAATTTTTGAGTTATTGCCCTTTGTTAATTTTCATACTTTATTTTTGTCCGGGCCATTTCTCCTAATGTATAAAAGCCATGGACTTGAAACTTCATAGGATGATAGGTCTCATTAAAAAGAAGTGCAGTGCACAAGAACTGGTACTCTTCATTTCTTATTTTTTGAGTTATTGCCCTTTGTTTATTTTCATACTTTAAATTTGTCCGGGCCATTTCTCCTTAAGTATAAAAGCTATGGACTTGAAACTTCATAGGATGATAGATCTTATTATTAAGAAGTGCAGTGCACAAGAATCGGTACTCTGCATTTCTTAATTTTTGAGTTATGGCCCTTTGTTAATTTTCATACTTAATTTTTGTCCAGGCCATTTCTCCGAAAGTATAAAAGTTATTGACTTGAAACTTCATAGGATGATAGATCTCATTAAAAAGAAGTGCAGTGCATAAGAACTGATACTCTGCATTTCTTATTTTTGAGTTATTGCCCTTTGTTGATTTTCTTACTTTATTTTTGTCCTGGTCATTTCTCCTCAAGTATGAAAGCTATGGACTTGAAACATCATAGAATGATAGATCTTATTGATAAGAAGTGCAGTGTACAGAAACTGCTGCTCTGCACGTATTATTTTTTTAGTTATTGCCCATTGTTATTTTTCATATTTCATTTTTGTCCTGGCCATTTCTCCTAAACTACATTGTTCACAAGGTGACACATCCGACTCGCGGAGTTCTAGTTATTTAATGGCTTTATTACACTCCTGCGCCTCGGTTTATGTGATAAATATTAAATATAGTATCATAATGAAAGTTTGTTTTACACTTCACTTTTAGCTCGACTATTCGATAAGAATAAGAAGAGCTATTGTTGTCACCCGAGCGTCGGCGTCGGTGTCGGCGTCGGCGTAACCACTTATGTTAAAGTTTTTGTAATACCTCAAATATTTTCAAAGTCCATTGACATATGGCTTTGAAACTTTGCACACTTGTTCACCATCATGACCCCAACTTGTAGACAGGAGAAGGTAACTCTATCAAGCATTTTGACAGAATTATGCCCCTTTTTTAACTTAGAATTTACGTTCAAGTTTTTGTAATACATCAAATATTTTCAAAGTCCATTGACATATGGCTTTGAAACTTTGCACACTTGTTCACCTTCATGACACCAACCTGTAGACAGGAGGAGGTAACTGTATCAAGCATTTTAACAGAATTATGCCCCCTTTTTCGACTTAGAATTTACGTTAAAGTTTTTGTAATAGTTCAAATATTTTCAGAGTCCATTGACATTAACTTTGAAACTTTGCACACTTGTTCACCATTATGACCTTAACCTGTAGACAGGAGGAGGTAACTCTATCAAGCATTTTGACAGAATTATGCCCCTTTTTCAACTTAGAATTTACGTTACAGTTTTTGTAATACCTCAAATATTTTCAAAGTCCATTGATATATGGCTTTGAAACTTTGCACACTTGTTTACCATCATGACATCAACCTGTGGACAGGAGGAGGTAACTCTATCAAGCATTTTGACAGAATTATGCCCCTTTGTCGACTTAGAATCTACGTTAAAGTTTTTGTAATTCCTCAAATATTTTCAAAGTTCATTGACATAAGGCTTTGAAACATGTTGAAATTTTATACTCTTCTTTGACAGCATAATAGGACTCTCTCCAAGGCCTTTAACTGTAATATGGATTTAAAGGAAAAAATTTGCCTTTTTCTTTACTTAGAAAATTTTACCTTTTAATAAAGACTTTTTTTATTATCAAGCACTAAGAATAGTCGAGCGTTGCTGTCCTACCGACAGCTCTTGTTTAAATGTTTTGAAAGATTTAATGCCGGAGAAATGTACTTTTTTCTTGGCGCATTAGGGATAGTTTTTCTGCAAAGTGTTTTGTTTGTTTGTTTGTTTCATTTTACGCCTTTTTCCAACAGTATTTCAGTCATATAGGCGGGTAGTTTCCTAATCATCGTTTCTGGAGAGTTACACCATCTTCGAACTTGAAAAAAATAGGTCACATTGCCCAAATATGGAAAACCTTTTTAACACAATAGAGGTCACATTTTTGACTCAATTGTCATCAAACTTGGCCTGGATACTTGTCTAAGACATTGCTTGGATGCAGTTGATGGGTCAGGGGAGCGATCCAGGGTCATCATGGCACTCTTGTTTATGTAAATCCTTGTCTTAAAATTGTTTGATTAACATACTTTATGCCCGTTTTGGAAAATGTAGAGGACATATCTCCATATACTTACCAAAACATTAACCGAAAATTTGCTTATTGAATTTTTCAAGATACTTTTTGATATTACTTTTAATATATTTATCATTTATTTTAAATTTAGTTCTCTTTGCAGAAACTTCTAATCCAGTTACCTCTCTGGCGTGGGTTCGATCCCCGGGAGATGCTTTGGTAGTTTAGCGCGGAGGAAGGTAGTCTAGTACTGGTGGAACTCTCCAGGAACGATGATTAGGAAACTACCCGCCTATATGACTGAAATACTGTTGGAAAAAGGCGTAAATGTAAAATTAGTATTTATTACATGCTTTTCGGTGGTTTATAGAAATATATCAGTGAAATAAAAACTGGTAATTTCACTGTTTCAAACAGTGAAATTACCACTTTGATAATTTCACTGTTTTTAATTTAAGGCCCTTACGTTGTCTCAGTGAAATACCAGCGTGCACAGTACTGGGTACCAACTTAATGACATGACGTCGTAAATGACGTCACGTTGTATTATTATTTGGCGCGATTTTCATTCAGTATTAGATTAAATGTCTTTTTAAAACGTTTCTTTGCATATAATAAAAAGAAAATTTGTTTAGTTCAGTGTAAGATCGGAATTTATTACATGTTTTGCAGTAGATTACTGAATTATAACGGTTAATTATATTCTGATAATTTCACAGTAATGATTACCAAATATAATTTCACAGTAGCCGAACTATATTTGGCGTAAAAATAAAATATTTATCATTAATGAATGTTTTTTCAGCGGAAATGTAGTCAATCATAATAAAAAATGTACGTGATAACTGTAGTTCGTTAATATTTACGAACGTTGTGCTGAAAAACATCTAAAATCTAAAAATAATCATGGAATTATATTTTGCTTCAACATTGTGACGTCATTATTTGATGACGTCATGAAGATAAGAGCATGACGTTACGCGGCAAAAATCAGTAAAATGGTGTAAATATCGTTAAAAAATCATGAAATAAACAGAAAATTTGTTTGTTTTACATGTGAGATCAAATAATATTTCACTCGTGAACCCCAGCTATTATATTTTCACTCGTGGCTACGCCACTCGTGGAAAATATTGCATCTGGTGTTCACTCGGTGAAATATTTTTCGATCTTACACTGAAACAAACAAATATCCTCTATATATTTCACCTTGTGAACACCAAAAGTTCATATTTCACTCGTGGCTGCGCCACTCGTAAAATATACCTTTTGGTGCTCACTCGGTGAAATACATTCCGATCTTACACTGAACTAAACAAATATCCTCTATATAATGG